ATGCGCTCATGTCCTTGGGGGGACAATCACAACAGAGCCGATGGTAGGTGACACTTGGACTAAGCCCAGGAGAGGGGAGAAACGCCAGGGAGAACACATACATTGCTCACATCCTACCCCAGAATCCCTTCCCCTGCCTAAGGCTTAGTCCCAAGCACAGCAATTGGCTCACTAACTTGAATGTTCCCCCCCCCCCTCCCCCGCCACCCAACGAACGCGAGCACCCTTTAATATAGTAGGTATGCGTTAGGCACAAACAGTTGCTACTTTTACAATTAGAATGGCCGCGCACGCGCCTACCGCCTCGCAAAAGCCTTTGAAAAGCCTATCCACTCGGCATTTGTGAACAATTTTTATTTGTACTGCATTTATCGACCCGTGTCCCTGCGCTTTCGACTTCTCCAACGGTACCGAATGTGTCCTCCCCCCCCCGCGAATTGACATGTACAAATGAGCATTGATCCTGGTCGCACGGAGTCCATTCCACATTTGGTACTTGCAAAGAGACGTGCGAAAGTACACCACAAGAACTTCAAGTATTTGAGAAAACCGGTACTATAACGAGGAAGTCATCCAAAAGATCAACAAACAGAAAGACTAAGAAGTAACTAGTTCCACAATAAGTTAGTCCCAAAAAATCTCAAAGTGCTATTACACAAGGAAGCGTTAGCTCCCGATTCAAAATAACAAGCACCAGATAGATTAGTGTTTTTTCTATTGCAAAAAAGCTTGAAAGAAGTTCACAAAAGCCAGTACAAAGAAAAAAACAAAATCGGGCAGAAAAAAAAAACAACAGAATACTTCAGCGAAAATCAGAATTACCTTGACGCCGATACCTGATCAGCAATAGAAGGCGGTAACAACTGGTGCAGTAGATCCTCGACTTTTTGCTTCTCCGCTAAATATTGCGCGAGTTCGTTCTTCGACGAGACCCTCGAGATTCTTCGCGTACAATTCGAGACGTTTCAGAAGATTGTCGACAAGATTTGATGTCTCATTGTCTCTGAAAAGTACAATATTTCAGGTTGAGCATTGAGCATTGCAGCTACAGTAACACGGAACTTAAAGACACGGGCAGCAAGCGGAATGCTGTGTTATTTCGCTCGAAAATGGAAGAGTAGGTGCCAAGAGGACCACCGCTAAGGAGAAGAGCAAAAGACTATTGAAAAAGCCGTGATGAAGGACCCTATTTTTTGGTGAGGTCAACCATAAGACAACGAAGAGACATAGCTCCGAAAAAAGGGGGAATACGCGAGACAGCACGCCGTAAGAGAGGGCGCAGGCATCACGATACTCGGACGAGAAAAATTGGCAGCGGCCAAGATAAGCCCTAAGCACCCTTGAGCATTTTCTATTCACGACAGTAGCACCACTTCTGGGCTTGAAAACCCTGCTACTTTACTCAAGAAAAGAACTGCTCCAAGGATCTGATCGCATCCCTAGCCTTCAAGGAACATGGTGAATGCAAAAACTGACTTGTTCAACATCCGAACCGCCTTGCGTATCATCGAGATATCAGGTCGATCATGGCTATCCTCAGCCCACGAACAACGCATCAGCTCCAGAAGGCTCTTAAAATCAGCAAGAATGGTCGAGAGCGCGAGAAATTGTTCAATCCACCGCTACCTGGTTAATGTCGTCGTCTGCGTCCAGGCTGTCTGGGACAAAAGGTCGGAACACATCGTCTGGATTCGTCACCGGCTTTTTCACGCGTTGAATAATCTCTGAAATCGGACCAATAAAAGACTCATGTTCTCAAGTACCGGGGAAATCTACAGAATGCTTGGACCTCTGCTACTTTTGCAACGTTTTGATTTATCAGAAGAATACTAGGTTATAAACAAAACTTTCACCCCAGGTGGGACTCGAACCTTCACTTCTCGCTTACCGGGTAAGTGCGCTACAAGTTAAGCCACAAATAAGAACAGGTTTTGGTATATTTATTGCATAACAGAAAGTGCGTTTGTTTTTGGCAGGAAAAACTAAATAGCCTCTAAACAGTAATCAAAATTCAGCACGCAGTAAACATCATTACCATTTGACCAAATGAAAGAAATAGGAAAGGCTCCCAGGCTCAAAGATATCGCGAAACATTGCAGTGATCAAGTTCGTAGACCCTTCAAGCCCTTTCGTCTAGCTGCGCCGATAGAATCAGTGATTATTATTTAAAACACATAATACTTTGGCAAGGTTAAGTTAACTAGCAGTGAAATCTATCAAATCCCCCATATCCATGCAAACGTTCTGGCTGGTTTATAAGCTGGAAGAATTAAATGGTACGAAAAAAATCTGGATAACTGCCACTGACCGTACGGCGACAAGCTCTCATTCTTGACAGGGAATACGCCTTTCCGCCATAACACCTCATGGAGAATAATGGCGAAGGAGTAGATGTCACCCTTCTGAGTGCCCATCGGTGGCGGATT